GCCCCAGCCGGCTGACTCGCTGCGTGTGCCCAGCGACTCGGCGCTGCTGCGTCGAGCCGCGGCTGCAGGGCAAGAAGCCCTGGTCACGCGGCCGCGCGCAGCCGTCTGCAAGCTTGACACCATGGGCGGCAATAATGGTGCGGTAACAACACCAAAGAGGACGACGTTAAGTTAGACAGTTCTGAGCCTGAAAGAGCGCATGTATAATGACGTGTCTAAACATTGATGATAACTGCCATTGACACCTTGAGAATACCAGGAACAGTACGCTTCTGGAAACGGTTAAACACGCTGTTCTCTATCTCACGCGCCAGTGGCAGGTGAGTGCGAATGATATTCACCAGTTCATGGTTACACACAAGCCGATTCACACAAGGAGACCAATCCGGAATACTAAGCCGACCATACCCATGAGGAATTGATGAACAATGGGGCGAGCACGGCTGGCAACCTCGAAGAATGGGGTTCGATCTCCCCCCCCCCCTCCCCCCCTCCCCCGGCGCCCGTCCTTCCTGCCAGGGTCAGAGGCAGGCGACGCCGTAAAGCCCAAAAGGCAACGGAGAGAAGCGAGCAGGGTAAGTTCTCAGAGGCGACCATAGATAAGATGGATTGCCGATTGACCGGCATCCCTGAGAGCCGTTGTCTGCAGTCCGCACGTACCACCGGAGGCTGACGCTTTGGTCTTAGTCTTCTTGGAAGACGTTCTCAGGAACTCCTCGTACGACGCACAGCCGAGGCCGCGTTTTCCACTGCGTGTGTGGCCTGGCCACTCCTGATAGAGACGATCACAGACTCAGAAACACACCATGCGGCACAGACCCAACGCTGACATATGGAGGAACACAAAGAGAAGTGACCTCAAATGGAATGTTCCGCCCTTTTGAAGACATTGAAGCATGCATCAAATATAATGACATAAGCTTACTCCAGGCTATTGGTATACTTATATATAGAGCAATCGCTCTAGATAACAAAATTTCTCCATTTAGTAATCATGTGGTTCAATACGTCATTGTTTGCTTCCATCCTGGAAGTGTTTGCTGAGCCAAGTGTCGTTATGTGCTCGTGTTTTATCCCTTCGTGCCGACTATCTCGAGGATACCCAGGCATCCATGACACCATAATCACGTCATTCGAAACATGTCATTCCATTAGCCAAGCGGCGATCAAGGCCAAGAAAATATCATTGTCGAATCGTTCATATCTGGCGTTCGTGAGCACGATTTCCATGCATGACGGCCGCCAATTGGCTCTCACCCGATGTTGTGTGAGCTATGCAGGATTTTATCACGGTTGGTTGAAGAGCCTTTTCGACCAGACGTGATCACTTCAGGGTTATGGGATGAAGGAGAATGGATAACGGTGGGATAGGACTGGGGGCCAACCGCCGAGCTTAAGCCCGCGCAGGGTGTGCGCTGAGCACCCGGTCGGGGTCCTCTTCCAGGGCGCCTCTCCGCCCACTCGTGAGTGATGGATGCAGCCTGCCCCGGACAAGCGGGCGTCGCGAGGAATCAGGATTAAGAAAGAAGGAGGATAAGAGGGTGGGATATTTCTGTCACGAATTAGGTCGTGTGCTACATCATACTAGAATTTATACAATCCTTCTAGTTGTTACGAAAATAATACTTGTATTCGAATAACTTAAGAATAGCACTACAACCAAGTATGTGAATGCACGTAAATATCAAACTCATGGATAAATATGCAAGAACACCACGAGAAAGGACAAGAATACAACCACATAGCGACATCTGGCTCACTGAATACTTTCAGCAGGTGCTGCCACCTCTCGGGAGAGTGCAGGTCAGATCAGAAATATCATATAAACGTTCCGTGATCCAATCAAACATCGACGTATTGAGGAGCATGTCTACTGACATAGAAATTGTGTTGGCTCTCCTCAGTTGCCTTCTGTTGTCTGTTACAGCCTTTCCTCTTAAAGCATACAATAATTATCAGTGAGTTTATTTCATCACATCAGACAAGTGCTTCATTATCTCCAAACCTGGAACATTCCCTTTAATGCATGAAAGACAAAAAGATAACGATATATGAATGACAAATATATAAATAATGAATGAAAAACAGATAACAGACAGATAATGCATGAAAGACAACCTTTGTATAAAAGCAACTCAAGAAATGCGTGATGAAAGCAACATTCGGTATCCATTCCCTCTAGTCAAATTTCAGCGAAGATTGGACCCCACCCGCCCGGCCCGTCCCGACCGGCAACCGCGGCTTACCAGCGGCGACAGCTGAATGCCGCGCCGGGGCGCCGGGGCGGCGGCGGCGGCGGCGGGGCGTGCCAGCAGCTCGGTCGGGTCGCGCTGCCGCCGGTCACGCAGGCCAGGCGCCACCAGCAGCCGCTCCTGCAGCTGGCGCGCCTTGGCTGGATTGGTAGGCGGCAGGAAAGGCAGCCGCGAGCGCGAGGAGTCGGCCGAGCCGCGAGATGCGCTGCCGGATGAGCCCCGGGGTACGCCGGAGGGTCGTCGGCTCCCAGACATCTTCACCTGCTGCTGGCTGCTTCTTGCGCGAAAAGCTGGAAGATACACACGAGCTCGCACCGGACAACATTCAGCCCATAGCCCGAGGCGTGGTTGCAAACAATCGCCCACCAGCACATGGTGGCGAAGATGTGCAGTTGTAGAAGTTGGTGTGGTTGTAAGCCGGTGTCCTTGAAAGGGCTGAGCTGTTAATTAATTCCCAATCTAAATTGTGTTGCGCACGAGCCTGTATATTTCAGCCAGTTTCGTAGGACTACAAAGGAATCGTCTCCGAAGGGGCTCATAGCGCCCTCAAAGAACATTATGGAAGCAGGCGTCATTTCAGGGCTGCCTGACCAAAGCAGTCTTAGAACAGGCATAAGCTTCTAGCCTTGCGGGGTCCCTCTCCCAAGACCAGCAATGGTCCAAAACACGACGAAGGTTAAAACGCCGATGAGACGGCTTTAGACAGTGGTACCGTTAGGGAGCACCAGAGGTTATCAAGAAGTGTCTGGTATGTCAGAGGCCTCGAAACGGTTTCGGGAGAGGACGATTTAGACTGGCCTCCGGCATTCTCTCATGTTCTAGCGACAGCATCATTAGTGAGCTTGGAGTTTACGGAACATTGCAGACGTGGGCAGAGTATGTGATATGGTAGATGTGGTGGTAACCATGTCTACCATAACCACGAGACTGACGCCACTTCATCGTTTCCTTTCAAAGATCTCCAGTTTATCGGCTTGGCGCGCCTCTTTTTCTAAGTAAGCTAAATCCCCGGCCGCAAATGCCGAAGCGCTGCGCTTAGCCTCTTCACCCATAATTGCTCATCACTGATTTCGTATTCACCGACAACAGACGGGCTTCTGAACTCCTGGCTATCTTCAGGTGCTACGATCTTTCAGCATAATCACTGATCATGGGGCCCCACGTCACCATTCCGTAGATGATTCATGGGAAGGCCGAGAGTTGAATGATGTATGCAGCTACTCAGCTGTGCGCATCCGTCTAACCCCTTACATCTATGTTAAAGCGATTTTACAAAATGATGCGTTGTGCACCCCACCCGGGAAATGGCGCTGACAGCGCACCAGTACATTAAGCGCCTCGTCCTCACTCCTCGCTCCCAAACATGCATGCACGCTGTGCGAACCTTTTCACCTACCAGCATTCTATAACGCACCAATCTAAGGAAAAACAACTTTAGATCAACATTTACCACACTGACGAGCTGTCGCTTGACATAACACAGCCAACCAGTGCTCCCAACCGACGATTCACAGCATACCACCGCCCCCAGCCCTCGATATCGCCGGCCTTGACAAGTCCCCGGCGATAATCAAACCGATCGGGTTACCATAGCAACGGTGGATACTAAAGTACTGCCAAAGCCAACAAGCACAGTTTTCCAAGAAACCACCGAACAATGCCGCATATCCAAAGAACAGTTCATAAAAATTGTTTTACATCTTGGAAAGAAATTCTATTGATCAAAATATAACTTGCTTCAGATGGATTTTATGGTATTCCATTCAAAAGGCTAAAACGAAGGTATCCATGACAAATTTAAAAGCCGCCACATTCCAGAAACACTTTTCCGAGATGTTTTATCACATGACATCACAACCCATGTGAGACGATACGGCACGCCTTTGAGACAGTGGACCCTGTGGGGAGAAGGTAAGAAACACGATTCTTAGATGAAATATATTTATTTCTATGCAGCGCACTCGGGTTGGGACCACTTTCTCTAAACATGGTTAAGGTAGCTTCCCGTAGTCCCTTCGTCCATGGAGTTGATTTTATTAAATGGGAAGGCGAAACAAAGTTCTTGGGCTCTCTCAGCCAAATTTAGGTGTTCGACGCTGAAGGCGATTTTTCGCATCGATTTTCCTTGTGAAGTGCTCCCGTCTTCCTCGCAAATTTTGGGCAATCACGGCTTATGATACGATATATAAGCGAGTATTGTAATTGCACCCAGCGTAATACCCATCCTAGTTTTGCATACCCCGGATGACTATCCGGGTTGCTGACATTCCAGTGCCCAATGTTATGCGCAACACGGAATCCGCAAAGTAGGTTGCCACTACATTCACTAATGAATAACGGAAATAATGAATCGACCCTTTTATCACACGCCTCAATCTGCCGGGGCACCCGATGGTTTCATATTTTAATGCAAATTTCCAGCCAGCGTAAGAAAAGGATGCCAGTGTACCGTCTTCAACAATACCATACATATTACAGACAGCGCCTGGAAAACCAAGGTTGAGGACGATGATCAGAGCTTAAGGGCTCGCCAACTACCATGACCAGTTTGTGCCCGGAGAGGTACCTCCACAATAGTCGATCACTGGTGCGTTACGACACACCCAGCTGCTGAGGCTGTATGGCGTCGCCTGTCTCTCATCCTGGGAGGATGCACAGGCATCTCCGCAACGCGGTGGGCGCCATCTCGCGACAACATTCAATCAATGATGTAGACGTTAATCCCAATGGACGGATAAAATTCAAGAGTGGAATACGGCCACGTGTATTCTAAAAATGAGGACACTATACGAAGACGTACCAGCTATGCAAAGTCATAGCTCACCACATCCACCACGAATGAAACATTTCAGATGGCTCTAAAGACACTGTAAGCTAAAACTACTCCAATGGATCCATGAACGTGAGAACTGATCTTAAAACTAATCGCAAGTGACGTCACGCGCAGGCTTGGCATGTGCGCCAAATAGAACCGGCCGCTGGACCAATATAACTCCCTCGGCGTGCACGTCACACGTTATCGCCCTTTAGGCACAGGCTGTTCCCGCTCCAAACGTCACGCTGTGTCAAGATCTGGGCGCCGGCCGCTCCCGCCCGAAACACCACACCGTGCCGCCTTCTAGGCGCCGGCCACACCCACTCAACACGCCGCACTGTGACGCCAGCAGGGCGCCGGCCACTCCCGCTCAGCGCGCCGCACTGTGACGCCGGCTGGGCGCCGGCCACCCCCGCTCAGCACGCCCCGCTGTGACACCAGCAGGGCGCCGGCCACTCCCGCTCAGCACGCCGCACTGTGACGCCGGCTGGGCGCCGATCACCCGCGCCGCGCGGTCAGGCTGAGGAAAGGCGCGCCTCAGCGCCTGACGACCGGCTCGTCCGCCTGCAGATGGTCCGGGTAGTCGGTCAGCCGCAGCGTGAGCACGCGACTCTCCAGACACTCGCCTGCGTCCGGGCAGATGCCGATCAGCGCGTCGGCATGGCTGTAGAACTCCTCCTTCAGCGAGATGACGAGCACCTGCGGACGCCGGCAGGGCCGTGAATGACAGTACAATACGCTCTGCCGGTGTTCATGACAGTCAAAGGCCGCACAACCGTAGAAAACGGCCTTCGAGTTGATAAGCGATATTTTAACGAACGCTTCTCGGCACTGCCATGTTTAACTGACGCGGACCGTGAAAACACGCTTGTAGAAGCTTGCTGTTTCGTAGCGCGTCCACGGCAGGCTATTTTGCGCACTCCGAAAACAGCTTATACTTTTCCTTCAAATCAGTATTTCTCACTGGTGAGACGTTCCGGACCAGAGCATTACGAAAATATATTTCGGACCATGAAACAGCCAGTCGGCGTTACATTAGTGACTCAGCTCCAGCAATATGATTTGTAATGAGATTAAACTCACCTGCACCCGAACTGGACTCGTCACTAGCCGACACTTTATGCCCCGCGTTACCTGAGTCCGCTCGGTAGTTTCACCTGCGAAGGCACCCTAGCTTGGAGCTGTCTTGCGGTCCCGTTACCAGACTCCCACCACGAGACTGCTGCGGATCTGACCGCCTCTCACCTGCAGCTTGGCCGCGGTCTGGCTGCGAATGTAGCCGGCCACCTTGCCGATGTTTGTGTTGTCCAGCGCCGCGTCGATCTCGTCCAGCACGAAGAACGGCGCCGGCTGGAAGCTGTGGATGGCGAACAGCAGCGCCAGGGCCGCCACCGTCTTCTCCCCTCCAGACAGGTTGGACATGGGCTGGAACCGTTTGCCGGGCGCCACGCAGTTGTAGTTGATGCCGTCCAGGTAAGGCTCCTCCGGGTTCTCCGGACCCAGGAAGGCCTGCGCCGACTGGTTCTGTGCCAGGGCTTTGTATATGCCATCAATCTCGTTTGCGACATGTTCAAAGCAGGCCATGAAGCGATCGTTGCGCTCCTTCTTGGCCCGCTCAAACGCCTGCTTCGACTTTTTGGCTCTGCGCCTTGCCGAATCGAACTCCTCATTGGTCTCTTGCAGCTTCTCTCTCGCCATGTCAAGTTTCTGCATCGCTCGCATGTTCGGCATCTGGATCTTCTGCAGCATCGACGCTAGCTCATTGATCTGCTTGTTCAATTTGCTTTCGATCTTTCGAACCTCATCGTCGTCGAGATCGAAGTACGACTCATCGAGCCTGGAGTAGTCAACCACAATCCTCGCTGCTCTTTCGTTCACGGCTGAAGTATTCTGTGAGCTTCCAGGTTCCATGGCTTCAGACTCGCCATCGTCTCCTCCCCCCAGGTCGTCCAATGATCCACGTGATGTTGGAATGACGATATCCTCCATTTTGCACTGTTTAAGGATTGAGTGTCTCTCACTGCGCTTCTGTTCCACCTTGCCATCCAAAGTGTTGATCTGCTTCTGGACTGCTTGCATCTCCTTAGCAATCGTGCCCACCTCCCTACGCGCCTTGTTGATTTCGTCTTCCTTCTCTTCACCCTCCTGCCTTTTTGAGAGCTTTTCAGACTTGAGCTTGTCCAGTTCGCGCATGTCCTTGTCGATAGCAGTCATTTGCTTTGTCTCAGCGAGCTTGCAGCGCTCCAGCTCTTCTTCATCGTCCTGCACGGAGCGCTCCCAGCGTTTCACGTTGTTCTCCGTGTCGCGCGAGCGCTCAAACTCCAGTTGATTTGTAATCCTGTTCTTTTGATCCTCAAACTCGAGCCGTTTCTTGGCTTTCTCGGTTTGTGAGCGCAGCTCCCGCTCCTCGTACTGACGGATGTTCTGCACGCCGATTGCCTGACAGAAGCCGGCGAACACCACGTCCTCCACCGAGTTCATGTTCTCCTTGATCTCCTGTATGTCCACGTCTCGCTTCCTCATGGTGCGCTCGATCTCGTGGATGCGGGGCGCGAAACGTCTCCAGCTGACCGCGCAGCTGCTCCA